ACTGTCGGCTATACAGAGTAGGCTATTAAGGGACTCTTTAGATTGTGATAACCAGAGGGTATCGTCCATGTATGCTAAGGCTGGCACGTGAGCTGACAGTGAGTGGTGGGTCTCTACATTTCCATGATTAAAAGGTGATGTAACGTTATTGAACCCAATTTGTTATTATTTAACATATAATTATAAATTTTTTAAAATAAGTATAAAATCAGGTTAAAACCCGATTTATGTAATCAGCCCAATTTATTACTGCAGGTAAAATAAATTCTGATCAGTAATCATGCCGATTGATATCTCTTTTATTTATCAGATTGGTTAAGTATTAAATTGGTATCAATCAGTCATGTGAAGCATATGGAATATTAATAGGTTAATATTCTGATTTAATTTATCTATTTATTTCTATTTATACAATAGGTTCAAATACGTATCTGATTTGTTACAGTGATAAAAAAAGGATAAATCAGACAATTTTTTGATTAATTTTAAATAAAACATAGACATAAATCAGTTAATAATTATTGGTTTTTATTTATTCTTTTAATTATTACCTGATTTGTACTTGATTTATACCTTCTGAAATAACAGATTAACAATAAAACAACTAGGAAACAATCAGCTTATAATTCTATTAAAATCTTTTGATAATTTATCACAGTAGCAATTGATTTTATTTTGCATTTTTTTATATTAACAGCTTAAATAAATTTAATAACAATATATAAACTATGTATTTTTTAAATGCTGATTATACATGGAAGTGCCTGCCGATTGGGATTATAGCCATATATGTAACAGGCTTCTGATCTATTACAAATTTACTATGAATAAATCTACTATAAATATTATGAATCGGTATAATAATATCCCTGTTGATATCACAAAATTTGTTTTCCTAAAGCTCTATATTGCAAGTATTGATATCATCATCAACTGTGCAATAAAACCTTTTTTGATGATTAATTGCCAGTGTATACTATTTAACAAAGGCCAAGTTATGGGTCTGTTTTCCATTCTGGAGGTTGACTTTATGCTCAAAATAATATTGTACTTGACCAGAAAATACATCAGTTATATTATTATTTTTGCAAGAATAAATGAATTCTTATGATAACGAGAGTAATTTGCTGATCTGAAAATTTTAGTACTAATACGAATTCGTCCAAATCGATTAATTATTAGCTGAACAATAATTGGATGTCTGGATCTTCTTTCTATTGATCTGGCTATAGTAACAAATTTCAATTCGTATGCATTATTGTAATAATCTACTAAAAGATCATATATGTCATTTGGTAGATTTACATCAAGTTTCTTTGGTGTCATCATCATCTTAGGAAATATTTCACTACTGATTATAATATCTTCAACTTCAAGCCTGTAAATTAACCTGAATCAGTGCAATTCATCAAATTCAAAGTTATCATATGCTGAAAAGCTTCCTGTTGTTAGCCAGGATTTTACCAATTGTAATCCTTCAATCAGTTTTGAATGTATTTGATTAATTGGATATTAGATCATCCAACTGCCAGTTTTACATAATAATTCGCAATAATTCTAGCTCAATTTAGCGATGAGAATTCAGAAATGATCCTGTTAATAAAGCTGATTAGTATTTATTTTAATATAAGAATTAATGCAATACGAAAAATTAAATCATGTGATTATAATAAATTACCTAATACTCCATTCATTCTCTCGAACGAATAATACCAAAATGCATATAAAGTACTATAATCCCAATAGCATTCTGAAATATATAGCAATAGGTGGATATTTGGTGTAATCATTACTGACCCATAATTATCTTCGATTAATTGAGATACCTTTAATAACTGGCTATGTGCTTTATTTAATCCATTTTTATCAACAATTCGTGATACTAGCAAGTAACATGCTCTAACAAAGTTGGCTAGAATTTTCTGATTAGAACTATCCAATAAATCTAGTGTTCTGCACAGATCAGATCAGATCGGATTTAGGCAAAATCTGATTCGATCTGAATCTGAAAAATCCAAATTTGATTCAATCTGAATTCGACAAATCTGAATCCGTATCTGTATTCAAAAATCTGAATCTGAATCTGTATCCATATTCATATTTGACAAATCTAAATCTGAATCTGAAGGATCAAAAAAAATTTTTAGAATATTATTATTGTTTTTTAAACAATAATGAGTCTCCGACGTTCGAAATGGCGTTATATTGAAAAAAAAACAATATAATTATTGTTTTTTCAACAATAATGTACCTCCGATGTTTAGAACGGCATTTTACTGTTTAAAAAACAATATGGGAGCTGATCTATTAAAAATGGGTTACGGGAAATTTTTACAAAAAATGAGATTTTTGATTCATATTATAGTATATTATATGAACTTTATTTGGTTAAATTTTTAG